AGATTATTGGATATTGGGATGTGTGTTATGAAATGACTGATTATATTTGGGATGCGAAAGTTTATGAACATACAATAACCGATATAGAATCTCTATCAATCAATAAAAAGGTATCAATGATCAGCGTTTGTGATGTACTATATGCATATAAAATTTCAGGGACCTACAGATGATCTATCAAAAATTATCGGTGCGGGGATAGTTAAAAATAAGTGATTTTAGAGTAAGGTAAAGGTACGAGGAGATTATTTAATCTTTTGTTTGTTTATTTGTTTAGTTGCTCGATTACACTATTTATTTTTACATTAGTGATAATAAACTTTCACTTACATCACCATAACTAACTACTTTGCAGATGTTTTCAATTGCACCCCATGCATCTTTGCAATATCGTCTTTTAGAGCCTCATTCACTAGACGAGGTTGTTTGATCATGGAAAGTTCACTAAATGCAGATTATACGATTTCTATGGCGTACATGTCTCCGCAACCGCCTGAAAAGATTAAATCAAAAACAATATAAATCTTTGATCATTTGACCCGATTGCTTTTGAATCTATTTTCTACCTGATATATCATGAACAATCAATCTTGAAGGATTAAACTTTCCCTTAACTTTTCATATAAATGTTTTTCTAAAATCTAGTAGTTTCGGATGATAAGGTGCTCTTTTCCTCTTGTTCCTGTTTCTGTTCATTATTATTAATACTAGTACCGTATAATAACTGAACTTGGAATTTCGGCAAAGAATTACAAGAAACTACTAATACTATTGGTAGCTACTCTTAGTTCTAAAATTTGCTAAGGATATTATTTTTAGTATAGGTTTGATCAAGTGCATCTTAGGTGTTAAAGTTTTCCTTCGTTCATATCAAACTTCCCATAATCTCGGCCGGCATTTCTAAAGTTTCATGATCAATATCGCTAGTGAATAAATATGAATCAAATTAAGTAAGGTATTATCAAAAGGCATGTTTGAGTACCAAATCAAAATCTAATATCCGTCGCTTGGTTGGTTTATTGTAGTGTTAGTTGAACAATTTCAGTATTAGATTTAAATTACTAATAAGTATTATATTATTAGTACTGTTGATATGATGAATTCATTGTGAATATTATCCTCCTTCGTTACAATATTAGAATTGGGCCAAACCAATAGTCTAAATGCAAGTAAGATGCTAAAGCTACCCGGTATCGTATTAACAACATATACCCCCAACCATCTCTCGCAACCACCGAACCCCCGACCTAGTGCCGAATGACTAAAAACTATTTTCCCTAATATTCTTTTTCTCCATCCTTACCGTATCAAATCACCAAGTTTCCTTAATGAATTCTCCTTGTTCGTTAAATGTCAAACAAACACAAATATTGATGCTACCGAATCCCGACCTAGAAGGAATCGAACCTTCACCAGACCACCAGTGCATTATTCGAACACTAGTGTTGATGCTACCCAGCTAGGTTCCGAGAACAGTCAATAAGGCCATCACCCAAAATGCTTCCTTGTCCCTTTTAGGGCACGAGTCCCCTCTAGTAGGGGATGAAGAAGCCGTCCTAACCACCATTTAAAGGCGGTAGTTTAGGTATTTATTTCTAAATCGGCGTTGGAACTATATCCGTTCCGGCCAAGACCCCACGAACTTAACTGAAACAACGCTATTGGTGCTGGGTTTACCAGGATTTGGGGAAGGAACAGAAATCACATGATTATATTTTAACGGAATATAACCCTCCTCCCTCCTCTGAGATCAAAAATTCTACAATTATGGATGTGATTTTTGGAAATCCCTCCCTCCCCCTTATCAAGTTGATAGAAAAGCATATGTCTTAATTTAGCAACACTATTGGACTTAGCCATTTGCATACTCGCTTATGCATGGCTTTCACCTTCGAGAAATGCATGTGTCTTAATTTAGCAACGCTATTGGACTTAGCCATTTGCATACTCGCTTATGCATGGCTTTCACTTTCGAGAAAAGCGTGTCTTAATTTAGCCATATAGGCAATATACGAGACACCCTTTCGATTCCTTGAAGAACGCGAAAAGCACACATTCTTTTCATCCCGATAGCTTGAAAACTTGCTATAAATCCGTTTATTGAACTGCCAGCTCAGTAGCTTGACATATCGAAGTCTTCGCAAATCGCCCGTTCGACCTATGAAAGGCACCGGCCATTAATCATATGTGTGTGTGCCGATTCGTTCTCACCGGTATCAGCCTCCA